TTTCTCTAACTCAGAAACATCAGTTACTCTGAAGGGCATCATGCATCTTACTGAAGGTAAAATTGAAAGGCATTTTCTGAAGAGTAGGTCTCACAAATGAAAAACATCCAGATACATCCAAAGTATCGGACTAGAATGAGGGTCCTTTGGGAAAGGAGAAGTTTAGCAACATCTAGCAAATGCTGTGCATAAAGTTAGTGCCCAACTGTTATAGGTTGTTGGATAAGTCAATGGTTATTTAGAAAACTGCTTGATATAGAAATGGTAAATTTCTATTGGAGAATTCTTAGGTGTTCTCTCTGCTTTAAGTATGGCTGGCAGTTTTCCTTTGCTTTACCTGTGAAATAGTTCAAAGCCAAGTTTATATACAATTATATCAGTCCTCTTTCAAAGGTACCCATAGTGCATCTGGTGGGGGAAAGGTGTATTTTATTACATCTTTCACATTGACCATTTAAAGACAAAGATGAATTCAAATTCTGTCTCTTGAGAGAATATTAGCTTTACTGTTTGTCATGGCTTAAGGATACTGGCTAATATCAATAGAAGGATGTACATTTTCCAAATTCACAAGTAGTGTTCTGTGTTTAATATCCAAAGCTGAAAACATTCTGCTTTCATCTTGGTCACATACAGTTATTTTTACAGTTCTACCAAAGGGGTTAGGCTGTGCACAGCCATTCATTCCAGGCAAGTCATCTTATTTTTTTTTCCAAGTTGAAATTAATCATAGATGTACATAAACTCAGAAATTGAATTCATGTTTCTTAAATGGGCTACTTTGTCTTTTTTGTTATCAGGTGATATTTAGTCTATTAGCCACAAAATTGGGAAAGGAGTAGAAAAAGTAGTAACTGACAACTTGAATCATTAACCAGAGATGATATGAGAATCAGGTCATTTCAAAATTCATTTCCTATGTAACTGCATTGAGAACTTAATATGTTTCGTTGATATACGTGTTTTTCTGACAATTACATTTACGAATGGTTCCATTCTCTCTCCTGTGCGTTTTCTAGACACTTTTTTGAATGGATGATGTTTCATGAAGTATACTGTATTTTTGTACTTTTTTCCTTCCTTGGCACTGACACAAAAGTAGATGAGGAGATGGGTTTGACAAGCTTCTTCCCTTTCACATACTGCTGTCTATGTGGCTGTATCTTGTTTTCTCCCTGTTGCTACCACAACTATATTATCATGCAAATGCTGTATTTTTCTTTGGTGGAGATAAAGTTGTCTTGAGTTTTGTTTTAAAATTAAAGCGAACTTACGTGTATTGCATTAAATATAATATGCACAGTGCTTTCCGTGGCGCAACACACAATTCAAGGCCTCCTCTCTCCGTTTTTATATAGATGGTGAGAACCTAAGCTTCAGTTGACTTTTCCAATTGAAATGACCAAAAGACAAAGAAGACAACATTAAAAAAAATATTGTTTTTAATTGCTGAGGTTTAGCTATCAGTTACCTTTTTGCCTTTTGGGAATTTGGCATGGTTTCATTTTACTGCACTAGACAAGAGACTTTACTTTTAAGAAGTATTAAAATTCTAACTTCTTATTAATAGTATTTAATATAAAGATTTTTTTAATTACTGACATTATGAATTGGTTTGATGCTTTTCTCATGTACATCAATCCTTATTTTAAAATAAGATCAATAACACTATTTTCCTAAATGTTGTCCTTACCTGCCCTACTCGTATTCGAGATTGCCATGGCAGATTAAGATGTGTCAATGGAAGAGGTCAGAGGACTAATATTATTGGAAAGAGCTATGGTAGGTACCATAAAAAGCAAACAAGAAGTACTTTGGTTCTTTGCAACCACAGCTGTCTCCAAATATACAAATAATTCAGCACTTATTTTAAAATGAATCTGGGTATTGTGAATACCCCAAATTAGCAGTTTTTAACTTTAAAATACATGATAAATGGGACTTTGTCTTGCCCCCAAAGCAGCCATCTAAAATCCACACCCCCATGATTAGATGACTTATTACTGAGAAGTTATTGCACACACATAAAAAGCTGCCATTTTTTTCCAAAGATGTCAAAGGCTAGAAAGCCATGCCTTCTCAAAGTAAAATATACTGTGTACTAGGGGGAAAAAAGTGTGAGAAGAGGCATAATCACCAAGCTAAACATAGTCTGGCAAGTTGTATTTAACTATTATCGTGGAATAGTGTTATTCCCTGATAACGAATGCTGGCATCAGAACCAGAAGGATTATTCTCATCTCCATATCTGTCGTATTTGCATCTAGGAAATATAAAGTTTATTTATAATGAACACTGAGAGTGATATCTCTCCAGGGAGTAAAGTAAGTATGCCCTGGCTAATAGTGTAAGTTTGTATTCTTACATAATTTACCATTGTAAGAAGTCAATGAGTAGATCCTAACTTAAGGGGTATCTGTGTGTGTTTGAGTATTTCTAGTATGGTGTTAGTAAGTTTGAAAAGTGTTTTATAAGCATAGAGCTTATGGGTGTTACTGGGGACAAATGTCTCATTTTAAAGGAAGAGTTTTCTGAGATGGCATTAAATGACTAAAATCTATTTATTGCCTAAAGCTAAAGTGGAATATGAAGACAAGTCTTACTGAACAAAGCAGTTCTCTGTCACATCTGACTAACCCAGGGGAAGGACAGGGAAAAGCTGGAGAGTGTTTTGAAAACTCTTCTGCCTACCTTTTGAATTTGGACATTAACAAAGTAAGGACCATTTATGTGAATGGCTTCCTTTGGTTAGTTACAATTCATTCATTCATTCATCAGATTTATACAGAGCGCCTGTCATGAGCCAGGTATTATTCTAGATGTTAGGGAAACACTGGTAAACAAAAGCTAAGATCCCTGCTTTTACGGAACTTAAGACATTCTGAGACACTGGATCATACATTCTAGTGCAATCACCTTATTAAAACTTAAGATTTTGTGATGTAAACAGCCAGAAGCTATAGATAATGTAAATGTTATATTTAAAAAATACAATTTCAAAGAAATGACATTTAAACCAGTTTTAGGAAAGCTGAAGAGAAACAATATTGTTTTTAGTGCTTTTAAAGATGAGCTTATATTGCTCTTGAATGATACTGACTCAATAATCCTCAGCTTCCCAGTTCTTGTGAACTCACTTTGGGTTATGCATTTGCTATACTAACTGAGAAATTAAGCACCTTGCTTGATTTATTGTAAAAAGGAAAAAACAACAACAAAGTCATATTTAAGCAGTCTTAAACTTGTTTATTAATGTTATCTTGAGTCTACAGAGAACATAAAGCTATCTAAGAGGTAGAAAGCTGTCAAATACCTAATATGAAACTCTGAACTCTCCTATATTTCACAAAGCTGTTACAACACTTCAATACCTTACTGTCAGTGTCTGTTTGCAGCCTTTCCACATTTCTTGTACATAACTGAAACCGTCTTGATATTCTTTTGCCATGGGAACTGCTTGTCTGACACACTTCATAGCCATCTTTTTATTGGCTATTTGGAGAGGAAGCGAGGGGGTACAGCCGGGGCGCACACAGTCCTGGCGTCTGGTTCTTTCTCCAGAATAGAAATAAAACCCCCCCCGTCTCCCCCTTTAAAACATTCCATCCAATTGTTGTACAATATCTCACACCTCCTTTTTAAAAAACTGCCTTAATTTTCTAATCTTTCTCATCCCCAAACACATATAATCTAGTTAATTACATCCTTTCCTTGCATAACTATAAAATTATCCTTTCCCAAAAAGCCTTTTTTATAAGTGCCATCTAACACATTCATGGGCTGCTTCCCTGGGCCATCTGGTATATGATTTATGAATTTACTCATTTTTACTATGAGGATTAGCAAGTAAAATTAGGAAGGTTCCTCAGACTCCTAAAAAAAGTCCTATAAAAATAAAATTGATCTTGTATCAAGAACAAAAATAGCTATTCACTATTTAGGATTATTCATAAATTTGTTGCGCCTGCACTGATGTCCTGCTCCTGTCTATGGATGTATATATGTATAGCTGAAGTTGACTATATGTTACAGGACTTACTATTGTAGGTAGCACTTCAGCCTCCCTAAAACTCAGCAGAGAGAGAGGCCTTAGCTAATAGGAGATAGTGCATATGAATAAGCTAATATGCATATTCTTTTTTTCCCACCCTTCCACCCCAATATGCATATTCTATCCATACTGGGCATAATCAGTGTTGGAGGACGTAGAATAACAGCACAGGACTAAGAGTTCTGTATCATAGCCAATCTTGGGTCTCAGCTTCATCTATGAGTGAGTTAGATTAGAGAATTTCTGATGTCTCTTCTAATCACTGTGATAACCCCACTTGACACCTTGCATAGTACCTGGCTCATTGCAGTTCTAAAATGCCAGTAATGCAGTGACTCATCTAGCAAAAACTTACTTTATGACAGATAACTTTGATAAATGAAAATGTAACAATCATGGTGTTGATGCCATGTACTTTCTCTGTGGTTGGAAAACTATACACTAACCTTTCCCAGCCTGAAGGAAAAGAGTGCTCTAAAGACCTGGGATTTCTGGCATTGGAAGCAAATGCTGTTCCCACACAGAGTAAATTAGGAGCTGAGGTTTGCCCGCTGGTCACACTCAGATTCTAGTGTGGCAGTACTAGGTTCAACTCTCTAAATAAATTTCAAGGCTTTGTGAAAATAACCTCTCCTCTCATTCAAGGGTACGTTTAATGGTTCCATTCAACAGATTTACTGAGCACTTTCTAACTGTAAAAGGATAGTGTTTGCTTCAAGGGGACTAGAGACATGCCGACACATCCCTCATCTTCAAAGATGAACTCTATCCAGGATTCTTGTCCTAATCATTGTGGCAACGCCATCTGACACCTTGCATAGTACTTAGCTTTACGGCAGGCATTAGAAATGGATTGGAACCAAACCAGACATGGTCTGTATGCTCAGTAGTGTTCCTGGATCTTGTTTTAAGAAAGTTCATTTTTCACACAGTTTTTTTTTTTTTTTTGGATACATATATTTATTATGCTGTAAAAAGCAACACTACCTGATTGCATTTAAAATAAATGTTTCCCAATTTCAGAATACTTACAACTCGTAGTGTTAAGATTAGATTCACTTTGGGAGGTTTTAGAAGCAAATACATTCATAGCTGTGTAATCCCCAGGAAGAATCTAAATCTGACATCAGGTCATTCAGTCCCTGCCAGACAGACAACAGCATCAAATGGTCAATAGCTAATCCAGCTCTGCAGCTAAAGGGCAGTGTCGGGCAGCAGTGGGGTATAGCATATTACCAAAGATGAGACCAGCAAAAACAACAAAGTATATAAAGCTTTAAATTAACATGACCATATACAGCTCTCATGATACAGAAAAAGCACGTATGATACTAAAGCCAAAACAAAAAGATCTTTGGAGTTTACTGACGGCAGCAGTTAATAGCACAGTCAACAGCATTTAAAACAAATGTATTATTACCAGCCAACAGCAAACAGCCCAAGCAGAAATCGGCGCATAGTCATAAATAACATCAGGAGTAAATAAGGGCACATTTAATTAAACAAAAAAGATTTTACAGACAATTTTGATCTGAAAAAAGATGAAAACTCTCCTTGTTCCCAAATAATGGTTAGAACCTCTTTTTATTATAGAAAAACCTCAAAATCATTGGTAATCTTCAAGTCACACAATTGAACTGTCTTAATGTTTCATTTTAATCACACAAAGCAGGCTCCTATTTGAGCAAAGTTATCTCAGTTGATTTCAATTAAAACATGTCTACCCTGTAATATCTTTGGGGATAATGCTGCTCCTGTGCCGCATCTTAAAAATGCTACCTGTCTTCACGGCTTGCTAGATCCATGGGGTAGGCAACTGCTTACCCACCATCCTCCCCACGAAAGCTCAAGCATGGGAACAGCTTCATGCCTGGTGCAGCTAAGGAACACTGGCCGTGGTTTCACCAAAGGAGGTGCCATCTAGGTAATGGGAGGGCAGTAGCTATAGCCACTGGCTTAGACTGGAAGTAAAATGAAAGCACCTGGAGGCTGCTGGAGTAAGGTGCCATCAATCTTGGTAAAGCTTGGAAGCAGCAGTGTCTGCTCACAGAAAAAAAAAAAAAAAAGGAAATTGCTGTATGTGTAATGACTAGCATTCATGTACTTGAGAATTCTGCTCATTTCACTAAACACAGCTTCAAAGAAGTCCATTTGTGTGCATGTGTGTGTGCTTAATATCAGAAGTCCTCACTAACATGCCACTTTATCTCCTTGAAGTATGACAGGATGAAATGTATGTGCAATTCCTAGAAAATCCTGTTCTTTCAGTTTTTTGAAGCCCATTTTACTTACTTTCCAAATGAATCCTGAATTACCAACCCAAGACAAAGAAATTATAGGTCACAATTTAAAATGAAATGGCCCTTTTTCTTATTAAACTACAGAGCCCACCAAGAATTACACAATAGAGAATCACAAGAAATCTGGAATGATCCAGTAGTCCCCCAAGGAGGACAAATCTCTTGATGCAGACTCTTAATGACAGGCTTGGAAACAAACATTAGTTGTAGCAGTTCCCATACTATCAGGATAACTTTGGTAGCTTAGAATATTTCTGAATTTATATTTACCCTAGAAGCTAAAAAAAAAAAAAAAAAAAAATCTTAAAGATCTGCAGTTGCACATCCCTTCATTTTTTAAACTGATAAATTTGACTAATTTATACTTAGTAATTTTGTCTCTGGTTCTTTTGTAGACAAATGGCAAAGTTCTGATGCCAGAAATAGGAGGCATTTTTGGACTTACTATGGAAAACATGAAAACTGCATAGTATGCCAGCACTCACTTTCCCAGCTAAAGGAAAGAGGCAGATAGCTTAATGTCTGAGAAGAGAGGCTGGACTAAGGGGATATAGAAAAAGGAAAATTTTTTTAAAGTATTATAACTACATTCACACATATGTTTTGGTCACCAAACATCTTAAACAGATTCCCTGATAAAGTCTAATCAGAATTGGTATCTTATTAACAGTTGTTAACTATTATAGTTTTTTAAGAGTCACATCGTGAAGCTAGGGTGAGAGAGAGAGACACTTTAAACACACAACCATAAGTGCATGTAGTTGTTCAAACACTCAAACTAAATCTGTATTTGAAGTCTTGAAAATCACACTATTTGCTTCTAAAGGCAAACTTGACCCATTTGAACGACTGTACAACAGAGCTTAATTTATAAATGCATATCAGCAGATCATCACCATAAACTGAAAATTCACAAAACACAAATCATGGAAGACCACACAATTAAGCTAGCATTGGTAACTATTTCTTTTACATCAAATTATACAATGCACGAGGTAATATTGCTCACATTATGGAGGGAGATTGTTTTATTTCTATTTTTTCCCAAAGAGATCAGATTTGTCCTGTGCGCACAATGAAGAAAACTCCAGTAACACTGAAATGACAAATGTAAAATGTACATCACTACCAGATAGAAATACACATGTTCTTCATAATCATTTTCCACAATTAAATAGGTAAGTGATTTAAATCTTGGGATTTAAGACCATTACAACAATCCATCAAGATTCTTATGGACGGTTTGATTCTCCTTCCCGTTGTCAGAATCTCCTTGAGGTGTGTACTGGACTTGGTATTCTTGGAGAATTTTAAATACATCATGATGTCCAAAGTGCAGTGCTTCATCCATGGGAGTGTTGTTCCACCTAAGCAAGTAGCACAGCATGGGCAGGGTCATTAGGTAACTTCTGTACAAAAACGACCACCCCACATTGCTAGATTTTAAATGCGGGTTAAATAGCCAATCAAATTTAGCCATTTTAGCGATTTTACAAATAAAAATTAATAATAAAAATGCAGAAAGGGACTTATAATTCAAAAAGCAGTCTCCAAGACAAGCTGGGATGTGGAGAGGAAGAAAAGATCTGTGAAAGGATGTTGACACATTCAAGTGCTTATGGACAGAGCTTTTTAAGGAAAGTCCTTGTGTTAACAGATATAATAGCTCTAGGGTTCCAGAATTTTAACTTCACGAAAAGCCAAACATATCTCTTTTTAAATAAAATGTTCAAAGAAAATTCAGGTATATAACATCCATCACTCTAGCCTTTGACTGAAGATTTGTGTTTGTGTCAATTCAAAGCTACAGTAAGTCTCAGAAGTCTAGAAATAACCATGACCTTATTAGGGCTAAAACACACATTGGCAGATCAAGGTTGGCCCCAGAGGAACTGCCGTTTTCATCACCTCTGGTAAGGATGGGAAGCCATGGACTCTGTTGGACCACTACATCACCAGAAGAATAACTCCCCTCTCCATGCTTCTGGGGCTGTACTATTTAGAGTGATGGAGATGAAGATTCGAGAATAAGAAGAAATGAAGAGTTGCCAGTAGTGGTTAATCACTTGTCAGAAGGGGTAAATCTTTTGCAAGAGGAGACAGAACTACATAACCCACAGCCCTAGTCAATGATGGTATGATAGGTAGTTCCCTTACACTTCACAAACTGTGAAGCCTGTCTTCCTACCCCATCTCTCTCTACTTACGTTACAAAATTCTCCATGGCTGCTGATCTCTCTTTCTCCCTCTATCCACGTGCCACTGTCACCACCTTCCTAGTTTCACTTCCTGTTTCCTTCTTTCCTTTCCATCTCTGTCCTGAACTTTCTGCCCTCTTAATGGGGTCACAATATGGAAACAAAGGTTTTTAAAACAGTCTCATTTTTAAAATACTTTTTGGTAAATTTTGGTAGCCTGTTTTTAAAATCAGGTAAGTAAAACTTTACGTGTATCTTTGTGTTTCTCTAACAGCTGAATTCAGTGACTTTGAATAGGCCTTCATTAGTTTAGGGAGTCAGCGGTTTCAAACAGACATTTGAGTCATCCTCTACAGTATGTAATTATCTGTTTTACAACTCTTCTTCCATGAATTAATGAAAAATATAAACTTAAAAGAATACACTAATCCCAGCACTTTGGGAGGCCAAGGCGGGAGGATCACCTGAGGCCAGGAGTTCAAGACCAGAATGGCCAACATAGTGAAACCCCTCTCTACTAAAAATACAAAAATTAGCATAGCGTGGTGGCCCATTGCCTATAGTCCAGGTACTCAGGTGGCTGAGGCAGAAGAATTGCTTGAACCTAGGAGGTGGAGGTTACCATAAGTGGACTCGAGCCACTGCACTCCAGAACAAGATTCTGCCTCAAAAAAAAGAATATACGAATTTTGCTCAAACCAATTTTATAATTTAAGGCAACACTGATTCTATGAAATAGAGAAGACTTGTTGAATACAGCTAGTGCTCTACTTACGACCATGGTCGGGACCGCGGACCGGTCGTTACACGATTTGGTCGTAAGTTGAGTAGGCTATATGTACAGTTGAAATGGTGCACGCGGAGATAGTAGGGCTGCCGGAAGCTGGTCCGCGCTGTCATACGCCCAGCTGGGCAATGTTTGTGCTGCCAGATGCGGAGCAGTCGTGGCTAGCGATTGTTGTCATAAAGTCGAATGGTAGTAAGTTGCATAGGTGGTAAGTCGATCAATACCTGTATCTAGTTATCAGGTTAGTTACTTAGCTCACTTTTTCTTATCAGGCAGGTACATCTACTTCTACATTTCTAGAGGCCAATTTAGGGCAAAAAAAAATTAACACATATACAAAGCACAGTAATATTTCCAACATGTATACATAGTGTTATAGTATTTTAGTTGGGATTGTAAACGCAGAAAGAAAACACTCTTCAATTTCATACTCTAGAAAGCTGGGATGGGTATTAAAATTGGGAGAAAGCGAGGACTGTCATCCTACATGAGGTTTTAGAATACTGCCAATAAAGGTCATTTTACTCATGGTTTTTTTTTACTATAGAAATAAAGTCAAGTAATGAGTGTTAACACACTTACAAAACTGCTAACATTTGTCAGACATTGACATAACTTTTCTGCGTTTCTTGCAAGCTGAGAGCTTAAGCAACAAAACCCAGGCCCTAATTTTAAAAAAGATTGTTGGCCAGGCTCAATGGCTCACACCTGTAATCCCTACCACTTTGGAGACTGAGGTGGGAGGACTGAGCCCAGGATTTGGAGGCCAGCCTGGGCAACATACTAAGACTCTATCTCTACAAAAAATTTAAAAATTAGCCAGGCATGGTGTGTGCCTGTGATTGCTGCCACTCAGGAGGTTGAGGTGGGAGAATCGCTTGAACCGGGGAAGTTAAGGCTGCAATGATCTGTGATCATGCCACTTGCACTTCAGCCTGAATGGCAAGGCAAGACCCAGTCTCAAAAACCAAAAAAACAAAACGCTTAATAAACAGACAATATAGCTAAAGAGTAATCAACTTGCTCCACACTGGATTATGGCTCCCAGTTCTCAAATGAATCCAAACTCCTTATACATATCAAACCACCATCAAGTATGTTTTTCCCCATTCTTCTAAACTTTTATTCTCATTACTCACCAATTTATCCACTCTACTCCAGTACATAATGTCCAAGGATACGAATATAGAGTTTACTGTACCATGTATGTGTGCAAGCTGTGTTCTTATTTCCCTGACCACTTTGTTGACAGCATTTGCTGATGGATGAGTAAAAGTTTGCTATGTAGACCAGGAGAAAGAGGAGAAGAGTGGAATATATTCTAGGCATATTTCTCCCCCTACAGATAGAGTGGCCCCTCTTTTCATTCTGTGCCTTCAATCTCATCTCTTCCCCAAGCACTGATTGAAATTTAACTTCCACGAAGCCTTCTAAAACTGATCCCAACCACATCCAGAAATTGTAACACATTATTTCACATTATTATTATTTCACATTATTATTAAAAACGAAATCAGGCTATATAAATGTTGAATCTCTGCCAACAATCACTGGCTTCTTTGCAAATTTTGAGAGAGAACATTCAGTATTAATTATCATCTTAAAATTTATGCTTCTCTAAAGGTTTATCTTGTCTATGCTGTATAGTTAAAAACTCCATGAGGACAAAATTCCAATTTTCATTTCCAAAATGCCAAAAAAAAATTGTTTTCTTCATACAGTGTATTGACTGATAGTCAAACTAACCTGAAAATTTCTAAATAAGTGTATTGACTGATAAACTAACCTGAAAATTTCTAAAAATTCTTAGATAAGAAACAGGATATGGGAGACAGAATTACCTATCTAGCAGTAACAAGGTGTATTAACTTTGTAAGCTATCATAGCAGGTTCAAGAATGTCTTTGTGGGTTTAAATCACTTGACTATTATAGTCCTACATAATAAAATACTGACATATTTAGAAAGTAACATAAGTGCTCACCTGTCCTTGGGGAAAGGGTTTACTTTGCAGGCTTCCAGCAAAAATTTAACAACTTCAACATGACCTATACCGTCCCACCCCAGAAAAAGAAAAGCAGATTTTAGTACAAAGTAGAAATTAAATCTGGAAAGAAAATAGATAGGAGTAGTTTCTGTGTTACCCTCTGCAGCAGCTACATGGAGTGCTGTTCTGGAATCATAGTCCCGCTGTTCCATGTCCATAGCCGACAAAGCAAATCTGAAAATTGTACAAACAGCTATTCATTGTATATAAAACAAATTTAATTCACATTGGATTTATAAAACAAATTTAATTTAACATTCATTGCATCAGTTTATCTAAGGCCACATCTTTCCTCAGGCTCATTGATGGGAAGTACAGACCTTATGACCAGTACACAGGTGTTTTGGGTAAATGCCACTTCACCTCTCTTCCTCAGCTTTGCTCTTTTTAGGTAAGATTAAACGTTAACCACCTCTTACAGAATTGAGCTTTATTACATTATTGTTCAAAAATCAAGAATTATGCCACAACTGGACCAAGGTTTATATCTCAGAATGGCAAGAAACTAATCACTATAATAAAGTTGTGTTTTTACTAAGACTCCCATTCTTGAACATTTCATAGTCTACAAGTATAATATTAGTCAGACTTTAAAACAAGGAGGGGATGCATAGACAGTTTTCCACTTTGAAAATCAGCTGTTTGAGGCCTTAATGGGAGCAAAAAGAAAAGGAAAGAGAAAATCAGTAACAGCTCTACACAAAAGGCCTTAAGTATACAGCAGTATATGGCCTTGCTAATCCTGGTGATCTGCAGGACACCAAACACCCCAGTTGCTTCCCCCACTGCACACATGCACGTGCGCGTGCGCACACACACACACACACACACACACATACATACACATCAAAGATGGGGAATGGAGGGTAGACAGGGAGAAGGCATCATCCAATTCCAGTAAGCCACTGATACTAATTAGCCAGATTAGCTGAACAGTCACTACTTGAGGAAACAGATACTTTTTTTTAGGAGGCAGAAAAGGACAAGATTGGACAGCAGGCCTGAGGCACTGGAAGTGCTGATTTAATAAAAATTTTGTTGGCGTCATTTTTATTCAAGGGAAAAAGAAGTGAGGCTTTAACCTTAAAATGGCTGCTGGCCCGGAAGCAACTTCATAAAATATCTGTAAAGCGCATGCTAATCCATCCTGTAAACATACCTTCGAAGTGCAGACACATCTCCAGTATACGCAGCAAACAAAAGATTTATCACTGACTTTACCTGTGAAGAAAAGACAGTTTAGGTATCCGTGGGCAAAACACATACAATGTCCACCTGTCACTGGTAGGTGATTTTCATGTGCTTTGAACACTTCAGCTGAATCGTGCAGAAAGTTATCTCAAGTACACCTCTATAGTCCAAGAATGCACATGTGTGGTATTTTCTTCTTTTAACAGTGGATTGTGAGGGAAATTTCAATAATAAAGATATACGAGGGAAGGAATGGAATAATATTGATTGGCACAAAAGTGGAATTTTGTGAAACATATCATTGGAGTAACTGAAAACTGTTTAGAAGCCTTCTGTATATCTCAATATTGTGAGCAAGTTTGTATGTTGATAAAATTTACATTATTAAAAACTAAATCATGCTGTATAAATGTCTATTCCCTGCCAACAATCTCTGTCCTCACCAATCACTGGCTTCTTTGCATATCTTAAGAGAGAACATTCAGTGTTAATTATCATCTTAAACTTTACTTCACTGTAAAGATAGCCTTTAGCTCAATGCCCAGGTGGTACAAATTGGGTTATTCACAGAACTTACGACACTAATCTGTTTAAAAGGTTTCTAAACTCCGAAAATATTAAGTCACCTCTATTATCTGCTCCAAGATTTCAAAGTGTATCTACTTTTGACAGTTATCCACTTTCCTTTTCTTACAGGTAAGAGAAAAAGGCTAGTTATCCAAAAAGCCATTGGATTTTGGTCTGCTTTCATAAGGACTTTATCCATCCCTATCTATGAGAAATTAAACTATTGGTCATAGAATATTTGTTAATACTTCATAAATTCCCCATTTTCTCTTATACTTTGCAACTTTGACATTCATATTGATGACTCAACTGATCTGGACTCAATGGTAGAAAACAGAAGTTTAACAGGAGGAATGGAAAGTAATCCAGCTCTCCATCAACAAAACCACAGCCCTGAACTGTGCTTCAAGACCTTAGTCTGGACTTTCTCCCTTTCCACCATGGCCTCCTCCTTCCACAACCCATGAACTTTCCAAATTAACTGGAACTAACCATTGCTGCAGCTCTCTCATTCAGCATTTTCAAAGTGTAATCTGCAGAACTAGTCCACAAAATGGTCCACGAAAATAAGGGTCCTGTGGTTGGATATGATCTTAAAATGTTAAATCCCTCTCTTGGAGATTCGTGAGCATATGAAAGGCTCTGTCAAGGTCTACAGTAAAGGAACCTAACTAGCTGAGCATACCCCCAAAATACTACTATTACTATTTGTGTTGATATGAAAAAACCCTAACCCCTTACTCCTTCAGTCATTTAGCTTCCCTCCCAGCCATCCTTTCCTACTCCTGCCCAGCCTGTACCTATAGTTAGTCCCTACAGTCCAGAACAGTTTTCTCAATGGGGAATGGGGGTGGAGCAAAGAACTAAAAAGCATCACCCAGAATGTTCTAAAAGCATACATAAACATCTCTCCTATTTCTTGTTGTCCTACTCCTATACCTCAATTTGATACATTTTAGGGAAAGGAAGTAAATGCATATAGTTTCTTTTTTATAGAGATGGGGGCTCACTATGTTGGCCAGGCTGGTCTTGAACTCCTGGCCTTAAGCAGTCCTTCTGCCTTGGCCTCCCAAAGTGTTAGGATTATAGGCGTGATAATGCCCAGCTAAAATTTTGTTTAAAGTCTTCTGGTGACTTTGATATGCACACCCTTCTGGGTTATGACCCATTATTTCCCTTAATATCTTTCTTTTTTAATGGGGTCAACTCTGAATTCTCAATTCCCTTTTTTCTCTTGGGTCACAGAATACTGACTGGCTATTAGAGATTATCCTCCATATTTCCACCTGGTCTCTCATTACTGTTTGACAATTTTTCTTCTTGGTTCCCGCCATACTTTCTTCCGTCCTTTAATATCAGTGGAGACCCCTAAAAACAGAAGATCCTAACTACAACTTTGCTGAAAAGATAAAAAGCTGTTTTCATCTCTCAAAGCAAAAAGCTTCCTCATTTCTGAGACTCATTTTTTAATCTATTCCTTCAAACACTTACTCTCCAGATCCCCTGCTCTTGTTCCCTTACCGATCCCCTTTGTTGCTAGCATCTTTAACTTTTCCTCTTCCCTGGTTCCCTTAGTTTACCTTAAAACAGACACAACTTCACCCTATTTTGAAAAACCAACACTTGACCCTACTGTTCTCCCTTCAGTGCATATTTCCTGAAAGTATATTTTTAATTCCCTGAAAATTACCTACACACTCATTGTTAACTCTAAATAGTGCTCTCCGAAGCTCCAGCAGCTTCCTAAGCCCCAATTCCTTCAGATCTCCCCAGCACTCTCCACCCTGTCACGACTTGCCTTCCATGCTGCTGCATCAACCTGATCTTCCTCCTGTTTCCTGCTTTGCAGATTCATTACCCACTTTCCACTGTCTAGTAATACTCCCAAGGCAGTTCCAATCTTCTTGTTTTTCAATATAATGTCCCTCAAAGGATTTCTATTCCTCTGCGCAGATTGACTTCCCCAACTTTAATCTAAATCTTTGCTCCTAAGCTCCAGTCCTACAGCTCCACTTAATAGTCATTTCAAACCCAAAAACAGCAAGAGCCCTGCCAGCTTCCCACCTGGCTCCAGTTCAGAACTGTCTGCCTACTTGCCATTGCTTCCAGGACTTTTAACAGGCATCTCAGACTTATACCCAAAACAGAATTTGCTTTGTTCTGTCACCACTCACAGTCAGCAACTCTTCTAGTCTCCCCAGTTTGGGGATGACGCTACGATTCATCCACTTGCTCAGGCCACAAACTCAGAGGTCATCCACTGCTGCATTTGCTTGTACAGGCTGAATCCTTCACAGGGATGCCGGGCCACAGAGCCAACACAGGTTACCACCCACGCTCTTTCCACCAAGGTGTCCTAGCACCCAGGTACATCTACTGGGAGGAAGAGTTTCTTTACCAAGTCGTACTGAAAAGTACTTCTGACCAGAGACAGAGTTAGCTTTTTCTAATTCACACAAATTCACCATACAGACCCTGGGGGTATTCCTTGATCCTGTTATTTCTCTCACAACCCGTATCTAGCTCATCAATAAATCCTCTTTGCTTTACCTGCAAAATATGTTTGTAATCGTATCACTACCTCTATCACTACTGCCTTAAGCCTCATCTGAGCCACCGCCTCTGCTGCCACAGGGATCTTTTAAAAACATCAAGGAACTCCCGTGCCTTTCCATCGTACCTAAAGTAAAATCAAATTCTGCCAAGGGTTTCGAGACTCTAAAGGCTCTACTCCTGGTTACATTGTACGTATCATTTCTAGCACTCTTCCCTTTCCAGCTCTACTCCATCTAGAATGTCTTGCTGGTCTCAGGCACTCAAGGCCTACAACTGGCTGCTAGAGATGCTCTTTCCCCAGGTAGTCAGGAGGCTCCCTCTCTCCCTCCCTTTGGGTAGGTCTCCACTCAAGACTCTAAAATACTCCCCTCTTTTCATCACTCCTTATCCCTCACCTTGCTTTTCCTCTACACACACACACACACACACACACACACACACACACACACAAACTATATACTTTTTAACCACATTTATATATAGTCTTATATAAATATATATAACATATAATAAAGTATATATGTTTTTATATAGACTTTTTTGTCTCTCTCATTACATGTAGGCTCCATGTGGGAAGAGACCACTTGTCTTTTTGTTCCCCACCATACCTCAGTGTCTATCACACATAATAGGTGCTCATTAAATATCTATTGACTAAGTGAATATTCTCCCCAAAGCATCAAATATTTAACTTTGGATATTAAATTGTAAAATTAATTCCTGTAACTGCACCCCCCCCTTTTTTTGTGACAGGGTCTCACTCTGTCTCCCAGGCTGGAGTGCAGTGGCAGGATCTTGGCTCACTGCAACCTTCACCTCCTGGGTTCAGGCCCACCTTGGCCTCTAGAGTAGCTGGGATTACAGGCACGTGCTACCACACCTTTCTAATTTTTGTAGTTTCTGGTAGAGACAGGGTTTCACCAGGTTGTCCAGGCTGGTCCGGAACTCCTGACCTCAAGCAATCTGCCTACCTCGGCCTCTCAAAGAGTTGGGATTACAGGTGTGAGCTCCTGTGCCCAGCCCATCTCCCTTAACTTTTACATATTTGAAAATAATTACAAGATTTATTCAATCATTACTGGTGCATCTGCTTCTGGTCCTTCTTCCACCCTCCAAAACCTCTCCACATACTTCTAATCATATTCTCAAAACATTGCTCTAATCACTAAAAGCTTTTAACCAGGGAAGTATCAAGAACTTCAAAATCAGCCGGGCATGGTGGCTCAAGCCTGTAATCCCAGCACTTTGGGAGGCCGAGGCGGGTGGATCACGAGGTCAAGAGATCGAGACCATCCTGGTCAACATGGTGAA